GTTGAAGTTGAGTTTGATTGTTATCCAGTGAAGCTAAATCTTCATCTGACTTTTTATTTGGCACGAAAACGACTTGTTTTGTGAAACGGTCTTCATCGAGAAAGTTCATTTGGTGTCCCACCTTGTCACATATATCAACTAGGGGCCATAACAAGGTAAAATCTCAAAAAGAAATCCACACCAGGAACATAAAACACAAGAAAAACACATATGTAAGTTCAATTAATTTCATTCAAAATATTTTCAATTTTTTGCCTTCGCAGTAGAGCTTGGGCTACCTGTGGTTATGCGATAAAAGTATTGACTAAACAGGCGAGCGCGTGCTGTCGGCTTGAAAAACCGACTTGAAAACAATGCGCGCTCGCGTCATTTTCAGCCAATCACTGGATGGATGGCAAAAGTGCGGGCTCTGGGTTCGAGATTGCGTTTATCTACAAGGACAATTAGCATGCCAGCTGTCCATCAAATACAGTTACCACATAAAAGTTGTCCAATTTTACTTGTCTACACGGGCAAAAAAAAATTCTACATAAAAAAATTCTCGTGTAGATGGGCACATAGTTTAGGGAATTCAAGACAAATATAGACGCTTTGAAATTGTCAGTGTCCACGCCCTAAAGTAACACACCACTAATTCACTAATCCATTTCTCCATCGCTTTCAAAAGTATTAAAGTTTTTGAGTTAAAATTTTATCATTTCGTAAGAAATGACGTCAATATGCCCCAGAATATATATATCCTGCCTGCTGGATCCTTATAAACCTACTCGCAGTCTACGGTCTTCGAGACAAAACTTACCTACTGTTCCAAAATCAAAAACTCTTATGGTGACAGATCTTTTTCTGTATGTGCTCCAAAACTCTGGAACTCACTACCAGCATCCATCAAGAACAGTGAAAGTCTTTTACATCTTATAAATCTAAACTTAAGACTCATTTATTTCAAAAAAATTTAATAGTAAAATTTTAGTAATAATTTTATTATTTATTGCTAATTTATTTCCTATTGTAAGAGCATCGWGATTTGAGGATGCCCCTAGAACATTTTATTATTATGATGATGATGATTATGAAATATCCAAAAAAATGACATTCTCTTCATTGGTTCCTGTTTGTGTCACATCATGATCATAGATGCCAATTTTATTTAACAATAGCTCGTCGTCCGATTGGTCTTCCCGGGAYGGCTGGAATGTTATGGCTACGTACAATTCAAAGTTATCTTCCTTCCTCGGTGGTGAACACGCTCTATCTAGCCCCAGTTCTAGACTCTCCACGAATGGTTCATGGTTCAGAAATTCCCATCATGCAACTTGGCTTACCATATATGCCACGTCCCCCAACAAGTCACAACAAGCTACTTAGATCGAAAGAAGTGAAAATTTCTGTTTCCAAGCGAAAAGACCGGACTTGCAATGATTCTCAAATGTATCACAGAAATGAGTACACGATGTCCTCAGATACCARCTCAGCGGTTATCATCAAGAAGACAGGCGAAGTGCTAAATCCTGATGAATATTACATAAATGAAACCGAGAAAACCAATGGCAGCCAAGCTATCTACGTCTGCCGAAAAAGGTTCAACTGCTCAAACCAGTGGCGGTTACTGGACGAAGGAGAATTTTTTGTCTTTGAAAATGGGTCCATCATGTCCATTGCTTCAAAGAGGTTGTATGACAAGTCAGAATACATCCGGCAGAATGGCAGTGTCTTAGTTTGTGACGATACTTCTCTGGAGTTTACAGATGGCATGCTCCTAGACGTCGTTAACTGTTCCGGACAGTGGGGATTGATGGAGAGTCATGAATTTACGATCCTAACCAACCAATCAATCTATGTGAATGCTTCAGAAACCCTCTACGACCCAACACAGTACATCTGGCAAAACCAAAG